GGTACATGATATTGATGCATGATTTTATGGGGGTTTTGTGCTGAGGCATAATGGTTCAGTTTCTCTTCACGATTTCCAGGCTTCCTGGACGATGACACGTATGCAGGCGTTGCTGGTCAAAACCCTGATGACGTGTTCAGTTTCGATGACGTGCGAAGATGCTCTCCGAAGCTTCTAGTGGCGGGAAGGAGCTCCCGCGCTTCAAGCTGGGAATAGGGGGACGATATTTCCCGCCAAAAACTCCGAACGTATTCGTAAGGTGCGAAGTACTCGCGCCCCCTCGCTGTGCTACCAAGACCACCCAAACACAAACCCTATCGGATGTGCTTTTTGGACGGTCGAAGATACATCTAAGCAGATATCACACTTTTCTGGGACAAGGTCGACAGCTCGGCAAAAATGAGGAATTTGTGATGTGTCAAATGCAGAACTGCATGTGATCTGACTGCTAGCACCCTGCACTTGACTGGTCGAATTCTCGCAATGACGTGGCACGGCGCTCTATCGCGTTGACGACGCTATCTTCAGCCAATAGGGAATAACGTTCTATTTTCACTGTAGGAAGAACGACGTCATTCGAAACAGCACACTACTGTAGGGAGTTACGCACGCACTTTCTACATAATGTTTTCGTGGCTGCCCTTTGATCCTCGCATCTACAGTTGTCGTTCCCCCCAGTCAGCCAGCCAGCGCCACCAGCCAACATCTGGCGTTTGCCGAAATTACGTTGACTATCATGTACTTTTCTGCGCTTCTGCAGGCTGAAGTCAATCCAACCCCACCTCCCTACTGCTTACGGCACGATGACGAGGATGGAAACAAGTTTTTTCGGTGGATGTAATCGCTGAAAGATCGTTTTTTGGGCAGCCCAGACTGGCCTCATTCTGCACGTCCCAAGTGATCTGGAAATTAGGCCTTTTCGCTTGTTACTGAACAGTCTCTTGTCTGCCACATCATCATTTTCCTAGTCAGCAGCAGGAGTCACACGGAGAGATGACACGGCAACTTGACCAGTCCGAAGTGCGACCAGACCATTCCAACTCCCACTCAAGCTTCGTGCAGATAGGGTTCGTGAAAGGGAAAGAAAGGGAGCACCAGGCAAGGACAGAACAGACAACCCTATCCGCACCGAACCTAGTGCAGCGTTGACATGGATGGGATGGATGGGAGCCAGAGGAAAGGAGCCCCCTTTCGCTCACCCATTCAACCGCAGCGCATGTATGCACAGCCCCAGCCACAAACACAATTGCGTCACCCCCTTGCCCAATTTCTCCGACTCCACTTCATCCTCCCCTCTTCCGCTACTCCCTTCGTCTCTCCGCTCCCCCGCATTCTTCCCCTCACAGAGCGCGTTATTTCTCTACAGAACAAACTAGCGTAGGCTAGGCACACACACGTTTCGCCCCTCCAATCGTATGCTTTCTTCGCATGTTGAACCCCCTTCTCCTCTCACTTTTCGCACACTCACGCAACACGTAGGGCGCCGTACTGTACCCCCAGATCACCTCCCTCGCTACAGTACGCAAACATTGTATCGCTCTCGAGCACCCAAACAAGCCTCTCTCGAGCACCCAAACAAGCCTCTCGAGTCCAGTTCCCCAACACTTCTCAGAAGTCCCAAACCAACCCTCCCGACTCCGTCCGTAAGTCCTGAGAGGGTCCTTCAATCCTCAGTGCCTTTCTCACATCATCAGCAGTTCCTTCGCTTCCCAAACAGGCTGTGTTTCAGGCTTGTTCAGCCCGAGGTTTTCAAGCTACAGCCAACGCACATTAGTCTCCTCTGAAAGACTTGCTACTGCGCATTGCATTCCAGAACAAAGCTAGCTGCATTCTCTGAAAGCGTCTCCCCAGCCTTGTCTTCAGCTGCTCTCAACCTCAATCTCGCAGCTGCCGGTCTTTCCACTGCGGTCGAACATTGATTTTTCCGGCTGTCACCTTCGGTCAAATCTCTTGCGGTCAGCGCTTTCCCTCCATCGCCGCTGCCATTCGAGCTCTCTTGCGCTCCACATTGTGGATTCAAAACGTTGAAGGATATCCGTCTCCTGAAAGCAAGGAGGTCCGGGCGTGTAGGCCAAGCTACGCTTTTTAAGCCTTTATTCTCCAGGCCGTCTCGCGCTGCCCTCTTCGTCTGTTCCAGCCTCCCATTGTGAATTCAGGGGCATCTCTATCTGCTTAATACGCGCCGGGTTTCGCGGCATTTATTTCTGCGTTCGAGAAAGCCGGGCAGTCGAGAACCGCCGTGTTGAAATTCCAGATCTTCATCTGAGGCGGCTCCAGCGTTTGTTACATTGTAACAGGGGCTGTTTTCGCGCGAGCATGGTTACCATGTCCATACGTCTCGCGGAGGAGACTTTGGAAGGTGCATCTGGATCTGAGTCGCGGCAACTTCTTTCGTCCGTCGCTTCTGCGGACGATTCTATCGCAACTGTCGCCGCCGTCATAGGCGACACCGCTGGCGACGTGTCTGCTGTTGCTGAATGCGACGATGTGCCTGTTGTTGCTGATTGCAACGAAGTTCGCTGTGCTACTTACAAGAACGGAGGCGTTGACGGTCTAGATGCGTCCAGTTCGAGCAAACTGGCAGTGGGAAAACTTTGCCCGTCCGATTTGCCTGCCGACGCGCGCAAGTCTACCGTATCACTGTCTGGCACTAAGGTATGGAGCTGCCGGGTCGAGGCGTCCGCGCTGGGAGTGGGAGAGGTTGGGAATGGGAATGGCGCTCTAGTAGGGGCCGTCAGCGGAAGGGGCTGTGTGTTTTCGTGTTGCTTGCTGTCGTGTTGGTTGGTGGAAGGTTTTCGGAGCAGTTTCATCTGACGGCTTGCAGCATCGCTTTCTTCTTTGCGCTTTATTCCTTGTGTTGATTTTAGAACTCATCTCTTTCCTAAACTTCTTTCTCCCTCTATATTTCCTTGACCGTCTTGTTTTTTTCAGCGACCACATGCATCCGCGTTTGAAGGTGCTTCGGAACCAGAGAAGGCCGAAAGGACGACTCCCAACAAGGGAGCGCGAATTTTTTGTTCACCGCATCGCAGCGTTCTGACAACCGTCGACGGCGACGATTCATCTCCATCTCAAGCATATTTTGGACGCATCAATCGCTCATCATCCTCTGGACAGGCTGAACTCGATTACCGTTTGACGCTTCCTACAAACGCTGGATTTTCTACACCAAACTCTAATCTTAAAGTTGCTCCATCGGGTTCAACATTTGAATCATCTTCCGAATTTTCTACCCCTCAAGGAGATGGATCTCGGATTCCTGTCCCAGCAGAGTGTCCTGGTACACCTAAGAAGGTGACATTTTCCACCTTCATTTCACGTCTTGGCGGCATCAATGGCAACAATGTTGGCGCTACAACCCTGAACCGATATGACAATGTGGAGCATGACACAAGTGGGAGAACAGCACTGCGCAATCCCGAATGTTGCAGCGCATCTGCAACCGACTCGATTGTTCCGCTTGCATCCCCGACGCTTGCCACGGTTGAGAACTTCAGGGCTCCTTTGACCCAAGCTCCACGCCGACCCTCCGGCAATCTAAGGAGACTCTTTCGTCCGCTCGACTTCGGTTCTGCAGGCGTCAGATGCTGACGTGGCTGATGTGACCCGTCCCTGCTGGTGCGGAGTTCTGACACCATTAACCTCAACTAATGAACCGCTGAGTTGCTAACTTATTGTGCCATGATCTGGGTTATCAAGGAGGCAGCTTAAATAATCTTCTGAAGATCACCCCATTGTGGTCTGCTGACCTGGTTGCCTCTGCTGCTGAATTTGATTGCCTCTGCTGATTTGCTTCTGCTAACCTGCTGCTGGTTTCTGCGGGCCCTGCTGCGCTATAGATATGCTCGTTGCTCACCTGCTGCTGGTTCTGCTGATCTGCTGTTGTCTGAATTTGCTTGCATCTGCTGACCTCCTGGCTTCTGCTGACCTCGTGCTGGTTCCTGCTGACCTGCTGCTGGCTCCTTCCGACCTGCTGCTGGCTCCTTCTGACCATCATTTGGGGCCATCTTGGGATGGATATGAGCCTGTGCAAGGGTGATTTTGAGCCTTGGCCCTTAAATCCCCCGGTACAATGGAGCGTTTCTCATTCCAGCCGGTCAAAAGGACCCTTGGGATGAATATGAACCCGCAGGAAGGTAGCTTCCACCCTGTTTTACCCAATTGAAAGTTAGTGTGGAGCATTAATGGGAATGGGTCGTAGTTTCAGCCCTCTTGTGTTGCTATTGCAGGGCAATGGACTAAACTGAGTTGTTAAGGTTGCATTTGGCTGGTCGATGATAGCTGCTTTGCATGGATAGTCTGGTACACTCTGCAGAAATTGACCTGTTTTGCGTTTCACTGTATCATCAACTGTAAATTCGCTATTCCAAGTATTGTTATTTCAACATTTGTTTGCACTCTGCGGTATGTTTTTAAGGTCGGCTCAAGCTTTAGCTCAATATTGAGGTCAAATACACCTTGTCGAGGCCTGATGTTTCAGGCCCGAACGGTTACACGTCAGTTCATATACTAGTGGTGTGTGATGCAGCCACGTCTCACACTTTCAGACAGGCCAATTGAAGACCCATTAGGGCGTGGAACGTAGGTTCTGAACTGAAGGCATTTCGCGACGCGACTCTTGATTGGTGGACGACTTACCAATGTTGAGTAACCAGAGCGAACGAAGAGGAGCGTTTGAATTTGTGATAATTAGGACCGCAGTGCAGCTTATGTTTTCAGCGGCGTTCGCGCGAATTTTCACCGTGCGTGCGCCAAGACTCCGATTGTCCCGCGCTTCTTACAAGCGGCTTCGGTGGCTCCAAGATTGCGATTATCCCCCGCATTCCGCGATCTACATCATCTCTGCAATCCGTTAAGTCAAGTTGACAGTGACGCGTTAGAGCCTTAGGCTGTCCGCTGACGCTTAGTGGCTGACGCTTACTAGCAACTGGCGCTTAGTGGACGCTTAGCAGCTGACGCTTACGAACGCTTAGTTCTCCAAGAGTGGTTTGTTAGACTTGATGAAGATGGCTGACGTCACGACGGCGCGAACAGCAGGTATGCTCTTTGCCTAAATGTTAGACTAGAGAACAACAGAATTAGCAGCTTGACGATTAGTATAAAGTTGGCGGATGTTACGGCGGCGCTCCCCCCGCCTTCCTCCTTTTCCTTTTCCCCGCTCCCCCGCTTTCCCCCTTCCCTTTTTCCCGCTTTCCCCACTTTGCCCCTTCTCCTTTTCCCGCTCCTCCCGTTTCCCTTCCTTAATTCGTCGCTCACCCCGTTTTCTCACGTCGCCCCTCCTTCCGCGCTCCCTTCGCGTCCCCAATCCCCATCTCCCCACTCCTCCTCATTCCACGCTCTCCCGCTCCCCGTCCCCCCCGTTGCCCCCATTGCCCCGCTTGTAACGAGTCAGACCAGGATGCAGACGCGCAAGTCCCCCGATTCCGGCTTAATAACAACTCTGGTGCCGCCGCAACGGGTGCAGCAGGAGGGGAAAGGGGAGGGGGAAGGGCAGGGGCAGGGGAAAGGGGAGGGGGAGCGGAAGGGGGAGGGGCAGGCGCCGGAGCTGGGGGGCGGGAAGCGGGGGCAGCGGCAGGGCAGGCGGAATTGCGGGCGAATCCGGGTGATTCACCCGCTGAAAATGCCGCTTCTGGTGGTGGCGCCTCTTTTGGAAATGAAGAAGAAGGGGGATATGGGGGGGAAGGTGGGGAGGGGGGAGAGGATGATTATTACGATGAGGATGAGGAGGAGGAGGAGGATGAGGGGGAGGAAGGGGGGCAGGCGGGGGGGAGGGGAGGGGGAGGGGGAAGGGCGGGGGTTGAAGGTGGTGTGGGGGGCGCAGGGGGTGGGGGTGGAGTGAGGCGGAGAGGGGGAAGCACGGCTGAGCGAGAGCACAAGAGATTAAGGAGGTATGTGAACGGCTTAGGACGTACGCTAACAACTTATGACTATCTGGAGTTCATGGTGTAAGGAGAATTCTGGGGGTTGCGTGAACGACTTACAAGGTATGTGGAGTATTAGGGAGGTATGTGGTGTGGAGTAAAAGGGAGGTATGTGGGCTTGATAGGGAAACAATTGGGGAGCATGTGGGGAAGCATGTGGGGAACCATGTGGTGATGTGGGTGGAACAGTTAACTGAGGCGGGTTTGACTGACTTGTACCGTGGATTATCCTTCCCTTCTCACCATTACCCCCTTTTACAGGCGGCTTCGTGACATGGTATCGGCTCTGTAGGCGAGAAAGGAGCGATTGAGTATCTTCACCATCACCACAATCGTATTCAGGTTTTATTCCGTCTCCTTTACAGGCTGCTTCAAAACAGGGTGTCGCTACAGCAGGCGAGGCAACATTGCCTAGTTTGGATTAGCATCAGCATAATCGAATTCATACCTCAATCCATCCCCCTACAGGCTGCTTCGCAACAGGGTGTCGGCGCAGCAGGCAAGAGAGCGGCGGAAGCAGTACCTTTCAGAACTGGAGGGGCGGGTCTCTCAGCTGGACCAGCGGAACGCTGAGCTAAAAGAAACACTTAGCACCTTGCAGCGGGAGAATTTCATGCTGAGACAGGTATGGAGGAAGTCAGGAACAGAATTTTGCTAAACGGGTGCAATTTGTGGAGTACTGAGTATTGAGCAGGGGTGTTAGCAGGTGGATCAGCAGAGAACAAAGCTAAGAGAAACACTCAGCAACTTGCGACGGTAGAACTTCAAATATATCAATAGTGTCATTTCCATGGTCCCCTCTCATGTCACCTGTTGCCATCACCCCTCCTCCCCCTATTACTTCCTTTCCCTTGACCTTCCTCTCCCCGTGGATTATATCTGGGCTGCTAAGCTCATATTATGTGCATGAGTTTCGATTATGGTTCTGAGTGTGATTGTGCATGTGATCAAGTGGTTTTTTTCTAGTTTTTGATGGTAGTTTTGCTTCCCCCTTTCCCCCCATGTCCCTCCTTACATCCCCCCCCTTCCTTCTCCCCTGCCAGGTGGCTCGGAACACGGCTCAAGCAGCAGACGCCCCACCAAGCCATTGACCCGCTCTTCTTTCTAACTGAAACAAAGCTCAAGCAAGAGAGCCTATTAAACACAATGATTTCGCGCGCTTTCATTGTGTCGGGGATAGAAATGCAGCTCAAGCAGCAAAAAAACCAGAAAAACTCCATTTCCGAGCTCATGCAACTACCGCAATCCCCCCGTATATAGGACCCCCCCCAGTTGTAGACCCCGGGGTCTATAATACCGACCCGGGTACTTTTGAGTGCATCTGAGTTATACCCCCCTAAATGGCTCCTAACATTATAAGACCCCCCCACATCCTAGAGAAATTATAATTTTTAAACACATTGATGTTTTTCAAAATTGTGTATTGTGAAAGCGAAGCTGACTGTACCGAATATTTGGCAGCGTCGAAGCGCGCTAAACGCCCTTCTCCAACTACAAAAACCGTGGGTTGGAGTTCATTCCCTCCACCCACGTTTCTCGTTTTCCAACGGCTCAATCAACATTTCCGTTCGAGTAGTTCTTTTCCCCGTCCAAGCTGGCTAGAACTCGCACCCTTCCCAGAGGCGAGTCACCCTCAACACTTCTGCAAGACATTTTCAACCACAATCGATCTACAATGGCGTCTACGCCGGCACTTAACCGCGTCAATTCGTCTGCGCCGGTTTCCGACTCCGACCGTAACGCCCGAGAAATGACGGGCGATCGCCGTAACAAGCGGCGGGCAGAGGAAGGATCGCCCGCCCCAACTGCCGTGGACGTGCTGTTGGGCGGGCTCGAGGTCAACAAAAACTCGAGCCCGCCCCAGCAGCAGCACCCGTCGGCCCCTGTGGCGCCTGTGGCGCCTGAGGCGCGTGTGGCGCAAGTGGCGACGGCGGCACCTGCAGCACCTGGGGTGCCACACGCGCCTGACGCGGAGCACACGCCGGCGCCTGTGGCTGGACCGTCGCGTCAGCGCCAGAGGCGCCGAACATCGACTTCTTCTGACGCGACGACCCCGGCGTTGACCAACGCGTTGACTCCGGACCAGGTCGCTGCGCTTCTGTCCCTGTTACAGCAACAACCCGCCAGCGTTACAGCTACGGAAATTGCACAACCCGCGGCGTCTGCATCTGCTAACAAGGAAAACGCAAAAAAAGAAAAAGGAGCGCGAGGAACAACGGCGAACCGGCACAACAAGGAAGCACCAGCCAGCATCCCACCTGCGCCAGCGGCCGACAACGACACCGACGGCTCCGACGACGATGATGGTGAGGCTCCGGTCCATACCGCAAATTTTCATTCCATGGAGCATCTTCCCCCCCTCCCCTCTACTACTAACACCACTTGGTCGGCGGCGACGTTCAACGACGAGCACGTGCGGGCGAAAGCGGAGATTCTGGAGGACATGCGGGCCTACCTGAAACACGCAGAGCACAAGCTGCAGCACGGCGACTCGGCGGGCGGACTCGAAATGGTCGTCGCCGCCCTCGACGACATTTCCGCGCGCTTCGACATGTTTCAAGTCGAAGACGCATCCGACGACCGCGTTGCCAAGCGCTACAAGATGTACCTGGAGAAAAGCCTTCTCACCTCGCGGCCGTTCAAGCAAGCCGTCGCGGACGTGGCTGCCATGGACCGAGCGGCGGGCGCTCACGCTCGCTCCCACCGTGGTGGAAACCACGGCGCCAAGGCGTTCGCCCCAAAACGTGGCCCTCCAACCTCGGGCAACTTCCAAGGCTTTCGTGGTTCGTGTTTCCGCTGCGGACAGCCAGGCCACGTCGCCAATGCCTGCCCTCGGAATGGGCATGGGGGCCAAGGACCCGCACCGGTTGTGTAAGGTTCGGGCTATGGTGAAGCGCGCCTCTAGGCGCGATGCACGGTGCACTTTTGAGTGCTTAGACCGTGGGCAGCCTAGTAGGGCTTGCGGTGGCCATGGCCAGCCCTAGGATAGGGTGGTAGAAGTTGGCCATAGGCCTAGCTTTGGGGAAGAGGAAGAATGCCTCTCGGTCCCCTAGGATAGGGTAATAAAGTATGGCCGTAGGTCTAGCTTTGGGGAAGAGGAAGAATGCCTCTCGGTCCCCCGTATGCCCCAATTGATGGGATGAGAAACATGCTAGTAGGCATGACAATGTATGACCATGAGAGATAGGGATTTTATTAAAGGCCCCTCTTGTTTGTCACGGATTAAAAAAAAAAAAAAAAAAATAGGAGGAGAAGGGGAGAGGGAGAAAAAGAGAGTACGTACGCTCCTCACTCAAACCGCCACCATGCATGGCAAGGATGAGCAGCCCTGGTTCAACCGTTGGAAGCCCAAAAAGGGTGAGAAGGAGCAAGGGGGGGGGAGTAGGGCATAGCGATGTCGCCTAGCCCAAGTAAAGGCACGCGCGAAAAGACACGAGCTCATGACAAGCGAAGCATGCAAATGCTCAAACAACAATGGAAACACATCCAAAAAGAGAGGGAGAGAGAAAGAGCGAGAGAGAGAGAGAGAGAGAGAGAGAGAGAGAGAGAGAGAGAGAGAGAGAGAGAGAGAGAGAGAGAGAGAGAGAGAGAGCACACGAGGGAAGCATGATCATGGTCCCAAGCATCAATCCTCCAGAAAAAAAAAAAAAAAAAAAAAACGAGGGGAGGGAAAAGGAGAGAGTATGAGAAAGAGTTTGCCAAGGTGCGATCGGACGCCCTATATGGAATGACGACAAACCGTCCGTATGGTCCTCACTGTTGACGGTTCATTTTTCGCGCATGCATGTATATGTCACACGCATGAACTAATTAAGGCGTGCAACCTGATTGTTCGCGTTCATTTCCTTGCCGTACATACAGGAGCACAACAATACGAGGTGCCTCGCGACGATGGCCCGTACGAATTCGCCGTCACGGACAAAACCGTCACACGGATGTGCGGTCGGCTTCGCTCGACCTTTGCGTGGTGGAGCTCATGGTGCCCTTGCAGCCTCGTCCTATCCATCATCGCCAACGGTTACTGGCTTCCATGGAGCCACGGCCCACCACAGGCCTTTCGGGAGCGTAACCACGCTGGTGCATACGCGCATGCGTCGTTCACACGTACTGCCATCCAAGAACTCACAGAGACCGGAGCTGCAGTCGAGACAGCCGCAAGCGAGCTTACGTGCATAAGCCCACTTAACGTGGTCGAGCAGAAAGAAAAATGCAGGCTCATCCTCGACCTGAGAAAAGTCAACACAAACCTCATCGTCCCAAAATTCAAGTACGAAGGACTCAGCCGTGTGGCAGACGTGGCACGCGCTGGGGATTGGATGTTTTCTATTGATCTCAAATCCGGGTACCATCACATCGATATCCATCCTTCATGCTGGAAGTTTCTCGGTTTTGGATTCGATGGGCGCACTTACTCCTTTCGTTCATTGCCGTTCGGTCTTGCGACAGCCCCATTCATCTTCACGCAACTCATCAAGCAGCTAGCCCGTCGCTGGCGGGAGCAAGGCATCCGAGTAGTACCATACGTGGACGACATCTTATTCCTTTGCCAGTCAAAAGCTCACGCGCAGGCTACTTGCCACCGTGTAATACTGGACCTTAAAGCAGCAGGTTTGGTGATAAATGCGAAGAAATCACAGCTGTCACCATCGCAACACCTTCGATTCTTGGGTGTGGAGCTAGACACGGCCACAGGCCGATTTACCATCGGTCCCGAACGACGAGCCTCACTACATGCAACTATTCGGAACCTGTTGAGCGCAAGCAAGGCATGTCGACCCGTCTCAGTCCGCCAAGTGGCCAGAATCACAGGCATGCTCGCGTCAATGGGCGTCGCGCTGGGCGCAACAGCTCGTGCTTTCAGCCACGCCATGCTACAAGTGATCAATGACGCACCTTCATGGAAAAGCAGCGTGATCATCCCCCCAAAAGCGGCTGAGGAGCTAAACTTCTGGCTCGAAGAGTTTGACAGGTTCAACGGTGCACCGTTTCACGTTCGAAACAGCTACGACGCTGTCATCCATGTGGATGCTAGCGCTCACAGTTGGGGCGCCACTTTGACCACATTTCCTGGCGGCCTCGAAGAAGCTAGCGCAACAATGCCAGAGCCGCTGCGAGCGACGTCCAGCACACGGAGGGAGATCGAAGGTGTGCTTTGGGCACTCCAAACATACTCCAGCAAGATCACGCACAAACATGTTCTTGTGCGGGTGGACAATCAGGGCGTCTTCTTCATCCTTCGCAAAGGTGGCTCGCGCAGCCCCGACCTTACCACGGCCTGCCAAGACATCATTCGACTATGCATGGAGCACGGCACGCGTCTAATCATCGAATGGATCCCACGGGAGCTAAACTCACACGCCGATGAGCTCTCAAAAGCAGTCGATCATGACGACTACTCGTTGAAGACGCCGTGGTTCCGCATCTTAGAACGGCGTTGGGGTCCCCATTCCATCGACCTCTTTGCAAACTCCCGCAACTCCCAGCTGCCACGCTTCTGCACTAAAATTCCTCATCCACAAGCCACCGCAGTCGATGCATTCTCGCTCGCATGGACATCAGAAAATAGCTTTGCGTTCCCCCCGCCCCATTTAGTTCCGGCCGTCCTCCATCACGCACAGCGCACCCGTGCATCGCTCACATTGATCATCCCACACTGGCCGGGTGCAAACTGGTGGCCACTTTTACAACCTTCCCCACGCAACTGGGCACCGTACATCCACGCGCACATTCCCTTGACACACGGCAGCCAATGCCTGGCAGCTGGAACACATTCCGCTGCTTTTTCAGGCACTGGATTACCACACAGCCCAATCATCGCACTTCGGGTGGTTTTTGACTAATTGAGAATGTACGCGCCTTGTGTCCAGATCCGCTCCCAAAGCTACACAACCAACTCATCAACATGCTCACACAATCGCGAGCGAATTCGACAATCCGTACATACGAACCGTACTGGGCCAAGTTTCGGGCCTTCTGCACAAAGGTGGATCTTCCATTTCTTCCCGCATCCGACATGACCCTCGCGCTATACTTGGTGCATGCAATCCAACGCAAAGCAACCTTGTCTGTAGTGCAGCTCACGTGCTCGGCA